ATTGAGCCATTGACCACAACTCTCTGAATTTAAACTATTACCTCTTATACCCAGTGCTTCTGGTGATGTTTTAGCCTTATGAAACTTGCCAAAATAGCAAAAGTAAAACAAAATTTGAGATGTTCATTAGCCTGATACAAGCTTATCTTCAATCACAGGCCAAGCGTGCCAGACTGGTTTGCAGACAGTGAAATAAGCTACTGCAGTCAGCTGCGCACACCAGCAGTCTAGCAGATGGACTGCAGTCTACATCCAGCCAAAAATGGTCTAGATACATCTCCCAGCAAATTTCTTCATTCTCCTTGACCACAGAACTCACAGTACAGCACACTACTGAGAAGCACAAACACCACAACTTTCAGCAACTCAATCACTCATACCCAAATTTACCCTAGTTCCCTAGACATAAAAGGACACGACAAGTAGTTGTTAAAAGCAATATACAGATAGGGAGGGAAAGCAACTGAGTGGAATCAACTCACCACCAGAATAGCTATTGCTGTTCAAGACTAGGCAAGGAAGGGCACAGACTGGCCTACTCATGCCTAATTTTCCTGATCTAGTCTCATAAAAGCCTATCTGAAAAAGCACTTGCAGTATCGCTTAAGGGAGCACACAAAACATTTGAACAAGCTTGTCTACATATACGTACAATAAGTTTTGTGAGGAAATCAAGAGGCAGAATAAAAAATTCTGTATACTTTCTTTAAACACAGCCTTATGGATTGTTCCTCCTCTTTCCTCCTTGTCTTAAAGAACTTCATACATTAGATAGACTGGTAACATTCGTTTGCATGTTACATGCACCAATGGATATATGAAACCAGGACTTAAAATATCTAAACCTTTTTGATTCTATACATTGGGTACACTGGAAAACAGTTACAAGCTCTTCATTTCAGCTCCAGTTTGCTCTGTTCTCCCTGTACAAAGAATACAATGATATTTACTGTAGGGCACAAATTATTTACCACCTTAAACAAAAAACCTTCTGAAGTTTATAACAACTAGGGAATGGAGAGAGGAGTAGATTTAGATTAGATATTAGGAAGAAAATTTTACAATGAGGGTGGTGAGGCACTGGAACAGGTTGCCCAGAGAAGTTGTGGCTGCCCCATCCCTGGAGGTGTCCAAGGCCAGGCTGGATGAAGCTTTGAGCAACCTGGTCTAATGGAGGGTGTCCCTGCCCATGGCAGGAGGGTTGGAACTAGGTGATCTCTAAGGTCCTTTCCAACCCAAACCATTCTTCGAGTCTATAACTCGGGGTTTTGTAGCAGCAGCTTTAGCTTGTAGAGATGCAGCCTACCAAACCAGGACAAGGATTACCCTTATTTCTGGAGAAAATTGTTTTCACACCTCTACATTGTAATACATTATAAAGATCAGCACAAAGCTAAAAAAATGCTTGCCGAATACTCCTAGAAAAGTTAGGGAGTAACTGAGAAATGAAACTGTTGCAAAGAAAATTCCACCAAAAGAAAGCTAGCAATGGTTTCTTCAATTAGGAGAAATGCCTTTTGTTTTCTGCTATGAATACAAAAAAACACACCACCACCCAAACTAGGTACTCTGAAAGAATGATTTCCTTATTTCTATGAGCCCTTAAAAGCAAGTTACATTTGCAGGTGATTTATGAAGTCACTGGCTGACATAAATGTTTATAAAATTTCTTTTTTCTTTATCACCTATTTAATCTTACATGCTTCGTATCTGTACATATTTATGTACTGTATGAATCTCAACAGATAACTAAGAACCACTACTCCTTATGAAAGTAGAAGTAAACCTAATTTCTTTTCTTCAGCACATTTCTAAACGCATGAGTTATTTTCCACACATGAATGATTCCTACTTGGTTATCAAATTAGATTCAAGGGAGAAGTGAGTCTTCTCCATAACCAGCAGAGGGAAGAAACTCCCCCCCCCACCACGCCTTAAAAAAAAAAAACAAACAAACAGACCAGAAAAAAATCAACCTTCATTATTTTTTTGCTACTTATTACACTGCTTGTGATGTATGGCAATTATGAGGTTAGTGAGACAGAACAACCTTTTGTAGACAATCTTCAGGTCTCTCCATTCCAGGAAGCTGCACATTTTCGGTTTGCGGGCTAATACTGTTTGAACAAGTTCCCTTGTGATTTTCTTCTTTTCTTTGTCAGATAATGGGACATACCACTTCTGGAGTCTCAGTTTCCCCTGGCGACTAAAAAGCAACATAAACTGCATCTGTTGAATCAGAAGGAGAAGAAAAAAAGATTAATCTCAGTCTCTGAGATCTAAAAAGACTTCTGTGAGGAAAACCAAACAGCAAGCAAGGTAGCAATCCAAAACCTTAACCACATTACGTATTTCTATACCAGTGGCATATGTTACACAAGATCTGGAAGTACCAATAATACAAAGGATTCCGCTGAACCAGGTCAGTCAAAGCAAAGATAGTGGAAAGGATACACAAGTTTCAGAAGTGGGTGTCGGAACCACCAGGTAGCAAGTGAATACACCCAAATTTCAGACAAACCACGTCCAGCACTGGTATGGTTGCATTTGCACTTACTACAGAAAAACACAAAAAAACCCAGCACAGCCCTCAAATACCCAAACTAATTTTCAATTCACCGGATTAGAACCGTTACAGCGGGAGCAATCTGCACTTAAGATCTTTCTGAAAAGCCTCAGAATACTTTAAAAGGCATTAAATCTCCCAATGGAAAGTCCTACGGCACAGAAAAGCCTAGTCTTTTCTCACATTACACAAAAGGAGTAGAGATTAAGTGCTTTCCCTGCGGTCCTATGTTCCACGTCTGGCTTCCTCTAAAGGAGTGATGTTGCAATTATATTTTAAGAGAAACTTGTCGGCTGTGTTATCCAGCAGCTGTAACATTAAAGGAAATAGCTTTTCTTTTTTGTTCGAAGTTGTATTGGGCTGAGGAAGTTTCCTAGACAATATGACAGACGTGAAATACGATGTGAAAGCCCAGCCCAGTCCCGGGTGACAAGTCCGACCAGCGCCAGCACAGACAAGAGGCGGCGGCAGCAGCAGCAGCGGCGGCGGTTCCGAAGCCCGGCGGTGCCGGGTCGCTCCCTCCATGGGGGCAGCCCTTCGAG